CGCCGCCCACTCACCCCACACCCCTACCAACCTGACAAAGTGGGCGGGCAGCTGGCGGTGGTCGCTGTAGAGGGCGTTGTTGACCAGGGTCACGTGACCACTGAGTCCACTCAGAGACAGGGAGGTCTGCAGCTGGTGAAGGTTGGCGGGCAGCATGTCCACGGCCAGCACAGAGTGACCGGTGGCCGCGGCGAACAGGGTGTACGCCCCGATGTTGGCGCCAAGGTCCACGAACTGGGACTCGGGGTCCGCCTGGAGGATTGGATAATTGGATAGTTGGATATTTGGATAGTTGGATGGTTGGAATTTGGATAATTAGTTTGATAGTTGCACGATTGGAAGATTGGATAGATAGATAAACAGGGTATGACAGGATGGATGGAAGGACGGATGGATGGAAGAAACAGCTGGATGGAAATGAAGGATAGATGGATGGATGGATGGATGGATGGATGGATGGATGGATGGATGGATGGATGGATGGATGGACGGAAGGGTGGAGAGATGGATGGAAGGAGGGGTGGGTGAATGGATGGACGGATGGATGGAAGGAAGGAGGGGTGGATGGATGGATGTCCACGGCCAGCACAGAGTGACCGGTGGCCGCGGCGAACAGGGTGTACGCCCCGATGTTGGCGCCAAGGTCCACGAACTGGGACTCCGGGTCCGCCTGGAGGTACAATTATTGTTCTGTATTAACTATGTAATGTAGGCCTTATTAATTGTCTGCTGCTGGGCTGTACACATGGGGGGTTTTTGTTTGGTTACTTCGAGTCTTTTATTTAGTTTATCATTGGTGAGTACATTGATAAAATACCAGAAAAGGGGCGGGGGGGTCTTAATTGCGATAAATGTTATGTTAGTGTTGTTTGTTTGATTGTTTGTCAATGTGTATGTTATATGCGCGCATGTCTGAATGTGTCCGTGAGTCTGGCATGGCAGGACAGGGAGATGGGGTGGGAGTATGTGCCTCGTGTATGATCTTCAAATACATGAATATCAATCAGACAGAGGGGGATCAAGTACGGAGATGACCCTCACCCCCGGGGCTGTGCTACTAACTGAAGTGTCTTTATGCCATTCCCAAATGGGGGACATTAACCTGTTCTTATGCACAGTAGAATTGTAAATGGGCTGATTCATCGATGTCATGCTCATAACTGTGCCTGAACTGCAACAGGGAACTGCTGCTTTTTCTTTCCTAATCCTTAATTTCGTCATTTTCCTTCTACTTCTTTTGTATGTTTGTCACACTCTTGAGACCCGCTATTTCCAGGGTGCCTTGATAGTCGAAGCCGACTTTGTGCTGTTGAAGCTAGAGAGGTGAGCACGCGCATAGTAAGTCTGATTCCCTGTAAGGACTTATCTGTTGGCATCCTCCCCTTGGCGCTCATAATATGACCTTATGCAGTTGTGAGCGCCGTAAAACACTTAC